GCTGTTTTGTGTGTTATTTTAGGGTTCTGGCCGGCCAACAAAAATGAGGTTTTAATATATGGGTCCCAGTGTGTTTTTTGAATAATGTATGGTCCAAGGCAATGGTCTCTCTCTTTCTTATACAGCTCACAGTTGAACAATACATGTGTGATATCCTCCACCTCTGGTGCTCCACAAATACAAAATCGTTCGTTGTATGGGACTTGATTAAACCTTCCGTGCTTGTCCATTGTATCCAGCTGTTCAAAACGAGCTCTGGTAAATACCCTCCTAAGGTGTTTAGGCATTTCTGTTTTTAGATATCGAGCTGTTTGGAAAGTATGTTTAAAGCGGCCTAACCATTTCAGTGAGCCAGCTTTACTGAGGGTAGCGATGTCTTTTTGGCCTTCTATATCCAATACTCGTTGAACAACTATTTTTGGGTCTAACTCTTCTAAGAGATTCGGATACCGAGTCGGAAGTCCACAGCTCCTAATGTATTTTGTCAGGAGAACTAACCAAGAGGTCTGATGTTGATTTTCTATCTGCTCTAACAGGCACAGTTTGGGGAGTCTATCATTTTCCATGGCCATCAGTTTTGCCCAGTAGTTGTAGGCCCTGATTTTGGATAAGCCATCCACTGTGTGTACTCCCAGTTCCGCTCTTACTGTGGCAGCTGGGGTCGTCCTGTCCACTCCTAGGAAACTTCGCAGGTGCTGTGATTGTGATTGCTCTAATAATGGTACCTGGTTTAGACTCCAAACTTCAGCTTCAGATTTAATGGAGTGTGCTGATTTGTTTTGTTTTTTAGTTTCTCCATTCACAGGACATAAGTGTGTAAAATTCTCCTACAATATCTACCATTTGAATAATTGGCAGAATATTTTCTTGTGGACGTGGACAATGATTTGAGATGTACAAAATGTAATGGATATTCAGTCACAAAATGACAGTATTTGGGAGCTATAACCGCCATTCTGCTGCGAGTAAAAGGCAGGGAGGAATCCAAAAAATATCTGGCTGGGCCCCATAGCCAGACACAAACTGAGGTCATTTCCAAGCAAGATTCACCAAGGTTCTCCAGAGATCTTGGTGGATGATGTCATCAGCCTGCATCTGGCTTGGTCTCAATAGATGATGTCATCAGTTTGCATCTGGCTATGAAGATATCACCAGATATGCTTTTTTGATCCCTTATAGTATCATAGAATCATAAAATCATTGAGCTGGAAGAGACCTCGTGGGCCATCCAGTCCAATCCCCTGCCAAGAAGCTGGAAAATCATGTTCAAAGCACCCCCAACAGATGGCCATCCAGCCTCTGTTTAAAAGCCTCCATAGAAGGAACCTCTGCTGCAATTCCGGGGTAGAGAGTTCCACTGCTGAACAGCTCTCACAGTCAGAAAGTTTTTCCTAATGTTCAGGTGGAATCTCCTTTCCAGTAGTTTGAAGCCATTGTTCCGTGTCCTAGTCTCCAGGGCAGCAGAAAACAAGCTTGTTCTCCAGACCCTTGATCATTTTAGTTGCCCTCCTCTGGACACATTCCAGCTTCTCAATATCTCTCTTCAATTGTGGTGCCAAGAATTGGATACAGTATTCCAGGTATGGTCTGACCAAGGCGGAATAGAGGGGTAGCATGACCTCCGTGGAGCTAAACACTAGACTCCTATTGATGCAGGTCAAAATTCCATTGGCTTTTTTAGCTGCAGCATCACATTGTTGGCTCATGCTCTTCATTCTCTTCACCAGCAACAGAATTGCTCTGTGGGTGTGGTTTCTATTGTAGTGCAATGGTTAGGAGTTGGTCTTTGTATGTTGTATTGGGAAGAAGAGATGATAACTTACACAATGTCCAAGGACATTGTGTAAGTATGTATGTCACTAACAGAATGCTAATAGAAGAACATTAATGCTATGATTCCTGTATAGTTGTCATTTTGGGTCTGCAAATGTTGGTGTTCAGCTTCTGAACAATTAGTTCTTGAGATGCTACATATTTTCCATGCTGAGTGTGAAGGTGCAGATCTTGTGGCGTTTGCTCTCCCACATGATCATTGTAACTAAGGGCCCTTCCACATAGCCATATAACCCAGGATATTAAGGCAGATAATTCACAATATCTGTTCTGAACTGGATTATCTTAGTCCACACTGCCATATAATCTAGTTCAATGTGGATTTTATATAGCTGTGTGGAAGGGCCTTAACACTCAATAAAATATTAGGTGTGTTTTGAATTCAGTGGGTGTAGGTTTATATCGGGCATATAAATACTATTAACAATTGAGTAAAATAGGGTCACTTTGAGCAAATCACATTCAGCTTCAGAGGAAGGAAAGGCAACCCCCTTCTGAATCAATATTGCCAAGAAAACCCCATGGTAAAATCTCCTTTAGGTAGCTCACTGCTTCTTAAACTATGGGCATTGACCCCAAATGGGGTCCCCTTTGCTCAATGTTGGGGTCCCGAAAAAATTGGCAACAGTAGATGTTTTCTGACCGTCATTTAGCGGCTGTTTTTAGACATTTACAGGCATCTGCTGTGCAGTGTTGGCAATGGAGGATGCTTCAGCTGTGCTTCATAAAAGGCAACATCAACTTGTTGAGCAAGTCTTGCAAATGCTAGTTTGTTATCAGCAAATGATTGATTTTTATACCTATTTTGTGTATCAATATAAAGACCAAGTAAAGTCAAGTAACATTTTCTTAGGCTGAAAGGAATCGAGTGGAAAGGTATAAACCAGGGGTCCTCAAACTTTTTAACAGAGGGCAGGATTATAATTTGAAAAAAAAACATGAATGAATTCCTATGCACACTGGACATATCTTATTTGTAGTGCAAAAACACTTAAAATAATGCAATAATTAAAATGTAGAACAATTTTAATAAATGTAAACTTATGAGTATTTCAATGGGAAGTGTGGGCCTGCTTTTGGCTGATGAGATAGGATTGTTGTCATTGTGTGCTTTCAAGTCCTTTCAGGCTTAGGTTGACCCTGAGTGAGGGCCGGGTAAATAACCTTGGAGGGCTGTATGTGGCCCTCGGGCCTTAGTTTGAAGACCCCTGGTTTAGATCCAGGGAAGTCATGCTATTTATTTATTTCAAACATTTATATTCCGCCCTTCTCACCTCGAAGGGTCGGGAAGGGGATTCAGGGCGGAGCACAACATATATATGGCAAACATTCAATGCCAGGACACAAATTTTTATACTTACTTACTTTACTTACTTATTTACTTAGGCGATCCCTCATAGTCCGAGGATGATGGTCCACTAAGTGTAGTATCCTGGCGGTGGATCCATAGGTGACTGTGGAGCCCTATTCTTGATCTGCATGTTCTCCCGCAGTGAGGGCATTGGTTTCCAGGTGGAAGGCGGTCCTGGTCGGGGTTGGCTTGATGCGCCTTCCTCTTGGCACGTTGCTCTCTTTCACCCTCCATTCGTGCCTCTTCAAATTCTGCAGCACTGCTGGTCACAGCTGACCTCCAGCTGGCGCACTCAAGGGCTTCCCAGTTCTCAGTGTCTATGCCACAGTTTTTAAGGTTGGCTTTGAGCCCATCATTAAATCTCTTTTCCTGTCCACCAACAATCCGTTTTCCATTCTTGAGTTCGGAGTAGAGCAACTGCTTTGGGGGACGGTGGTCGGGCATCCGGACAATGTGGCCGGTCCAGCGGAGTTTATGGCGGAGGACCATCGCTTCAGTGTTGGTGGTCTTTGCTTCTTCCAGCACGCTGATGTTTGTCCGCTTGTCTTCCCAAGAGATTTGCAGAATTTTCCGGAGTCAGCGCTAATGGAATCCTTCCAGGAGTTGCATGTGACGTCTGTAGACAAAAATTTGTTTCTAAATTCGATTCGTTTTTAGGGGGTTTTTGCGTTTCGATTTTTAAAAGAATTCCGAAATTTTCCTTTAAAAAAGTTCGAAATTTACGAAATTTTGGAAATTACGAAACAATTACGAAACAATTACGAAACAATTACGAAACAATTACGAATCGATTCGTTAATGGCGGGCGCGATCGTGCAATACGCTAAAAAAAACCTCTCCCTCTGTTGTTGACTGTTGGTGTGATAATTATATATTTTTTTCACTGATAAAACAAACAGCAACCCTAAAACTTGCACCAGACATGCAGAAATAATAACAAAACAATTTCGAAACGATTTCGAAACAATTACGAAACGAATTGGAAAAATTCGTTTCGTTTTTTAGTTGCTCCTGAATGGTTCAATATCGCTTCGTTATCAAAAAAATAACGAATTAATAACGAATTACGAAATTAATGAACGAAACCGCCCAGCCCTACTATGTAGAACTTCCTGGCTGTGAGAGCTGTTCAGCAGTGGAACTCTCTGCTCTGGGATGTGGTGGCAGCTCCTTCTTTGGAGGCTAAGAGGAGACATGATAGCTATGTAGAACTTCCTGACTGTGAGAGCCGTTCAGTAGCGGAACTCTCTGCTCTGGGATGTGGTGGTGGCTCCTTCTTTGGAGGCTAAGAGGAAACATGATAGCTATGTAGAACTTCCTGACTGTGAGAGCCGTTCAGTAGCGGAACTCTCTGCTCTGGGATGTGGTGGTGGCTCCTTCTTTGGAGGCTGAGAGGAGACATGATAGCTATGTAGAACTTCCTGACTGTGAGAGCCCTTCAGCAGTGGAACTCTGCCTCAGAGTGTGGTGGAGGCTCCTTCTTGGGAAGCTTTGCAGAGGCTGGATGGCCATCTGTCAGGGTGCTTTGAATGCATTTTTCCTGCTTCTTGGCAGAATGGGGTTGGACTGGATGGCCCATGAGGTCTCTTCCAACTCTGGGATTCCAAAAAAGTGAGTGCACACTGCCATATATTCCACTGCAAAGCAAATCATGTGGGATTTGATTTAGCTGTTTGGAAGGGGCCCCATTTCTGCAAAAAAGGAAAGCAGACCCGTGTCTTGTGCAAATGCACACGCTTTGCTTGTGGGAGCTGAGAGGAATCCGCTTGAGCATGCCAAAGCAATGTGAATGGGGAGGAAAGCATCTCTCAAACTCCTTTGCAAAGTCCTCCTCCCCCTCCATCTGAGGAAGGTTTGGCGGTTTGGCGCCGTTTTGCACGAACCCACAGACACGCCAATGTTGCCAATCATGAGGCAAGCGATCCCTCCAAAGGGGCCAGAGGTTGTCAGAGGTGGATGTCATGAGGGCGGGTGTGCAGCCTCCCTCTGGGTCGCTTTCGCCTTCTGCACGTTGAGGAGAAAGAGAGAGGAAAGGAGAAGGAGGAGGCAAAAAGAGGCTCCCCAAAGGCGGGATGGCGGCGGAACCGAGCTCCTTCGAGACGCTCTTTGAGGGGAAAAGGCGGTGAGTCCAGGGAGAAAGAAGTCTGGGGGGCGTTGAGGCATGGCAGCCCTGCTCTGTGGGAAAGGGGGCGCTGTCCCCTCTTTAGCCCCACCCTCTCCCCCCACCCCAAACATCAGGGAGGCTTTCTTTCCTGTCTTGTGAGGGGTTTCTTTTCAGGAGAAGAATCCTCAAATCTGGAGGGGACTTTTTGTTGGAAGGGAGACTTCAGCCACCCCCAAATATCCCCTTCCACACTGCCCTATGTCCCAAAGCATCAAGGCAGAAAATCCCACAATATCTGCTTTGAACTGGGTTATCTGAGTCCACACTGCCATCTATTCCAGTTCAAAACAGAAAGTGTGGGATTTTATGCAGCTGTGTGGAAAGGGCCTGGAATATATGGGCCCTTCTGCACAGCCCTGTATCTCAGAACATCAAGGCAGAAAATCCCACAATATCTGCTTTGAACTGGGTTATAATTGAGTCCACACTCAGATAGTAAAGGTAAAGGTAGTCCCCTGACATTAAGTGCAGTCATGTCTGACTCTGGGGTGTGGTGCTCATCTCCATTTCTAAGCCGAAGAGCCAGCGTTGTCCGTAGACACCTCCAAGGTCATGTGGCCGGCATGACTGCATGGAGCGCCGTTACCTTCCCGCCGGAGAGGTACCTATTGATCTACTCACATTTGCATGTTTTCGAACTGCTAGGTTGGCAGAAGCTAGGGCTGACAGCGGAAGCTCACGCCGCTCCCCGGAATCGAACCTGCGACCTTTCGATCAACAAGCTCAGCAGCTCAGTGCTTTAACCCACTGTGCCACCGGGGGCTCCTCCACACTCAGATAATGTGGGGTTTTCTGCCTTGATAGAATAATAATAATAATAATAATAATAATAATAATAATAATAATATCTATATAAATAAAAATGTAATGTTCGTTTGTGGGATTAACATAACTCAAAAACCACTGGGGGAATTGACACCAAATTTGGACACAAGACACCTAACAACCCAATGTATGTCCTTCACTCATAAAAACACTGAAAAACACAGCAGAAGGGACTTAAAAGCCCCAAAATGCTAGATGACAAAAAGGTAAATAACAACACAGAAAAAAGGGAAGAAAGAGGGAGGGAAATTAAAAAGGAAAGGGAGAAGGAAGCATGGAAGCAAAGAGGGAAGGAAGGAAAGAGGTAGAGAAGGAAGAAAGGAGAGAAAGAGGGAGGGAAAGAAAAAGGGAAGGAAGGAAAGTTAGAGAAGGAAGGAAGGGAGAAGGAAAGAAAAAAGGGAAAGAAGGAAGGAAAGGGAGCGAAGGAAGGGGGAAGATGTAGAGAAAGAGGGAAGGAAAGAGAGAAGGAAGAAAAGAGACAACAGAAGAGAAAGAAAAAGGGGGAAGGAAGGAAAGAGATAGAGAAAGAAGGAAGAAGAGAAGGAAAGACAGGAAGGAAAGGGAGTGAAGGAAGGAGGGAAAGACAGAAGGTTGGCCACAGCAAAGCGTGGCGGGTACAGCTAGTCTATATAAATAAAAATGTAATGTTCATTTGTGGGATTAACATAACTCAAAAACCACTGGACGAATTGACACCAAATTTGGACACAATACTATCAGGCCAACGAGTGACCATCACTCATAAAAACACTGAAAAACACAACAGAAGAGACTTAAAAGCCACAAAACAAAAAAATACATTACAATGCATGCGCAAAATCACATATATACACAAATATATACACACATATAAGCATATACACACACAAAACACATATACACAAACTGGGCCACAGCAATGCGTGGCAGAAGACGGCTAGTACAATGTATAATGTAATATATCGTATACACACACACACACACACATATATATTGATATAATAATAATAAGTATTGGAGCACAAGATTCCTGACCTCACGATCGTGTTAAAAAACAAAGTATGGATCGTCGTTGCAATCCCAGGTGACAGCAGGATTGAAGCGAAACAACTGGAAAAGCTGACATGATATGAGGATTTAAACATCGAACTGCAAAGACTCTGGCACAAGCCAGCCAAGGTGGTCCCAGTGGTGATCGGCACACTGGGTGTAGTACCTAAAGACCTTGGCCTGCACTTAAACACAATCGGCGTTGACAAAATTACCACCTGCCAGCTGCAGAAGGCCACCTTACTGGGATCTGCATGCATTATTCGCCGATACATCACACCGTCCTAAACACTTGGGAAGTATCCGACGTGTGATCCAATACAATTGCCAGCAGAGTGATCTTGTCTGCTGTGGACTCATCTTGTTGTGTTTATAATAATAATAATAATAATAATAATAATAATAATCTTTATTTATACCCTTCCACCATCTCCCCAATGGGGACTCGGGGGGGGGGGGGGTAACATGAGGCCAAGCCCGAAAATACAATACAACACAATAAAATACATAATACAGAAACAAAATTACATCAGAAGATAATTGCAATAGCAAATTAAAATAATCAAATTCGCACAAAATAAAATCGAACAGGATGGGCAGGCCAAATGGACAAGATGAAATAATAAAACCCTGGGTGAGGTAGGAATAAAAATATGTGAGGGGAGCTCAAGAATGATTTAAAAAACAATGGGGCAAGGCTTTCTGGGAGATAAGGCTATGTGGAAGGGCCCTTGGAGATAGGACTAGATTGGAGGGTGCTTTGGATAAGATGGGAGTGTTGTGGTGTCGTGTTTCAAGAGAGGAACACCCACAGATGGGTCAAAGGCCCCTTCCACACAGCTGAATACAATCCCACATTATCTGCTTTGAACTGGGATATATGGATGGCAGTGTGGACTCAGATAAACCAAATCAAAGCAAATATTGTGGGATTTTCTGTACACTGTAGAATTAATGCAGTTTGAAACTACCATATTTACTTGAGTCTGATGTTCATCTTTTTTTGGCTAAATAATGTTGCCAAAATTAAGGTGCGAATTAGACTTGAGTAAGAGGATGACAGGCCCAATAGTGCAGGCAAGGTCCCATTAGGAAGGCAGGTAATGGAACGGGCAAGAGGAAGCTATGCTCCTCCATCAGCCAAACTCATCAACGTCACCAACTGGCAGTATATTCACTGGCGCATCGGACTCAACTAAGTTCAGTACTTCAATTGCTGTGGATCAATGCTAAGGAATACTGGGAGTGGTACCAGCAGTCCTTGGCAAGCAAGGCTGAAGACTTTATTAAACTATAGCTCCCAGGATTCAAAAGCAGGTGTTTTGGCCTACAATTCCCAGAAATCCCAGCCAGTTTACCAGCTGTTATGATTTCTGGGAGTTGAAGGCCAAAACATCTGGGGGCCCACAGGTTGAGAACCACTGTTCTAGAGGCATTCTCTCCTGACGTTGCAGGTTTTTTGGACTATATGGCCCGAATCAACCCAGTGATTCCGGCCATGAAAGCCTTCAATAATACATATTAATAACAGTTGGTCCTACGTATTTATGGGTTTAAGTTTTGTGGATTTGAGTAATATGGCCTCTCTATGGATCAAGGTGATTCAGTGTGACACATGGGTCAATGGAGTTGTACTGCAGGACCTATTATTTCATAGAGAACACCTTTGATTGAGGTTGATTGCAGAATTGCACTGGAGGACCTTAAAGGTGTTCTCTCAGATTTTTTTTAAAAAAAGCATTTTTATTTGCTTTCCCTCATTTCTAGGGGGATCCTGCATCCCTAACCCCAGTAAATGTTGAGGGCGGTCTGTAGTATAAAATCCAGTAATATTAAAATTACTGTATCGGACTGGATGAGGGCGAACAAATTGAAATTGAATCCAGATAAGACAGAGGCACTCCTGGTCAGTCGAAGGGCCGAACAGGGTATAGGGTTACAGCCTGTGTTAGACGGGGTTACACTCCCCCTGAAGACGCAGGTTCGCAGCTTGGGTGTGATCCTGGACTCTTCGCTAAGCTTGGAACCCCAAGTTTCGCCGGTGTCCAGGGGAGCATTTGCACAATTAAAACTTGTGCGCCAGTTGCGCCCGTACCTTGGGAAGTCTGACTTGGCCACGGTAGTCCACGCTCTGGTTACATCCTACATTGATTACTGTAACGCGCTGTACGTGGGGTTGCCCTTGAAGACTGCCCGGAAGCTTCAGATGGTCCAGCGCTCGGCAGCCAGGTTGCTAACGGGAGCGGCACTCAGGGAGCGTACCACTCCTCTGTTGAGCCAGCTCCACTGGCTGCCAATCTGCTACCGGGCACAATTCAAGGTGCTGGCTTTAACCTATAAAGCCCTAAACGGTTCTGGCCCCACTTACCTCTCCGAACGCATCTCCACTTATGAACCGACTAGAACATTAAGATCGTCTGGGGAGGCCCTGCTCTCGGTCCCGCCTGCGTCACAGGTGTGCTTGGCGGGGACGAGAGACAGGGCCTTCTCAGTGGTGGCCCCTCGGCTATGGAATGCCTTACCAGTAGACATCAGACAGGCACCATCATTGCTGGCGTTTCGGAGAAAGGTCAAGACCTGGCTTTATGAACAGGCGTTTGGTTAACAGTGCAACCGAACATAGGAAGACGGTAAATGGAACATAGGAATGATATAAGGATTATGAGATCGGATCTGATTTCATTGAGGCGCTATGTTTGTTTCATGTTGTTTGTTAATTATTGTGGATCGGTGTTGTTGATCCTGTTGTTATATTTGTTGTATTTTTAATTACACTGACATTGTTATGATAATTTGTACCTGTAAACCGCATTGAGTCGCCTTTTGGGGCTGAAAAATGCGGTATAGAAATAAAGCAAATAAATAAATAATAAATAAATAAATAAATAAATAAATTAAAATTAAAAAGAAATGGGTCTCCTTCATATGCAGATCAAGTTCCAAGGGTCTTGGAGGGATAGTTTTCAATAGATACATATACTCGTGTTATTATAAACTCTTTTTCTGAGGTTCCTCACCCTGGAATTTCAGAGATACTGTTCAGACTAACCTAGTCTATAATAAATTAGTGTAATGCAGGGGAGAGACGAAGGAAAAAAAAACCA